TCCCTGGTACCAAAAAAAAAAAGAATTCAATGATCTTTATATTGCGCTTAGATAATCAGGGAAAGTTGCTATGTAATTACAATCCATTGTTATATTAAGATTTTATTTTGGATTCTGGTTGTGAAGTCGTCTTGATTTCATGATACTCAGTAATTTTATCTTTGTTTATTTTCCTTATAAGATATTTCTGAACTACTTGGTTTTCTTGCCTTTAAAAATATTATATACTGGTATAAAATGTGTATTTTATTGCTTATGAATTTATTTGTGAATAATGGCTGATATTACGTCACATACCCAGTTGATGTATAAAGTGGTTACTGTGGAAATCTCCTAAGAGGTGAAGAATAATTTTTATTTTTCTGAATGCATGACTTCTAAATTGTCCATGAGTTTCCTAGAAAAAATTTTAACAAAATTTTTCTTTTCCTGAAGAATGTTTTTGGCAGGCAGATACTAGATTGAACCCAGGATCCTCCCACTGAGCTACATCCCAAACAAGTTCTTTTTATTTTTTTACTTTATTTTTTAATGTTGAGACAAATTCTTGCTAAATCCGTTAGTCGCCCATGTTGAGTTCAAACTTGCAATCTTTCTGCCTCAGCCACCCAAAGTGCTGAGATTACAGGCACGTGCCACAATGCCCACTTTAAACTACTCCCTCATTCTGCTTAAATTATTTATTCTGCTTAGTATATGCAAAAAAGTCAATTACAAGGCCCCAATTGTTTTTATTATTCATTCATTATTTCAACAAGTTTTTAATGAGTGCTTACTTTCTACCAAGCACTATTCTAGATTTTGGGGATAAAGTAAAGAACATAACAGATATAACCTCCCCCCCCCACCACCCTAAGGAAGCATATATTCATTTGGGACAAGGCAGAAGATAAGTAGGTAAAATATAGTGGGCTAGATAAAAATAAAAACTAAGGAAAAAGGAGAGAACCATATAGTGTTGGAATGAAAAATATGGATGTCAAAGGATGTTTCTCTAAGAAGGTGAAATTCAAATAAAGATCCGAGGGAGTTAAGGGAGCTGGCCATGCAGCTATCGGGAGGTAGTCCAGGCAGGCAGGGGAAACAGCATTTGAAAATACTCTCATGCCTCGCACGTTCCAGGAAGAGTGAAGAGCCCAATGTGCCTTCAAAACCAGGTGATGGAGCATAACTAAGGTTGCTATTTTGCATAGTTATCTTCAAAAGAGTTACTCAGATTACCAGATATAAAAATGCAAAATTGATCTCTAATCCTGTGGATGTTAACTGTTTTGTTTCAAGAACTGATAGAATTAATAGTATAATCATCTTAGCTATCTTAAGTGTATATATACGAATTTATGTCTTTTTTCTTTCCCTTTCCTTCTTTTCTCTATTTCCTTATCTGAGTTATTTTTTCCCCTTTAAGCAGTTTCTTACCCTTTCACAATGTTCACTGTAGATTTTGTATCTTATTTCTCTTTCAGTTTCTTACACTAAGAAGACAATACGGTATATACACACATGTGTTTGATTTATTCCACTTATGAATATGGGCTCAAGTCACACCCATTTACCTATAAAAGCCTCAATGTGATCATTCTTTATAGGTGAGTGGTACTCCATTGTATAAAAATATCACATCATTTTTATCCATTTCTCAGTTGATGGGCATTTTGGTTGTTTCCTAGATTTGGCTTTTTCAAATTGTGCTGCTATAAACATGGGTGCCTATATATCACTATATTTTCATTTCTGCTGGGAATATGCCAGAAGTGGAATAGGTGGATCAAATGGGACCTCCAATCCCAGCTTTTTGAGGACCCTCCAGACTGATTTCCACAGTGGCTGCACCAGTCTACACTGCCACCAACAGTTTTGGGCTGTTTGTTATTGTTATCTATTTGTTTCTTTTCTTCTTTTTCTTATTTTTTGTTTTGTTTTGTTTCCCCCTCTAGTACAGAAAGGATAGTTGTACATGTATAGGCCTATACATGCCTAGAACTTCTAAAGAATTTATAACAATTGATAGTAGTATGTGTGAATGCATGAACAGCTACTTTGAAGAAAACAAGACATTATGGTAGCCATTGCTGATTTTCTATCGTCTTATTTTGAAGTCCAATAATGCTTTGATTTTTTTGTTTTGATTGGTTTTAGTTTGTTTTCTATTATTTGATTTCAATATGTGTGAAAGTATAAACAGCTATTTCAAAGAGAACAAGGGACATTGTGATATCAATTGTTGATTTTCCTATTGTCTTGTTTTGAAGGCTTATGATGCCTCCATTCTTCTGTTTTGATTTATTTTATACTATTTTGTTTTGTTTGACTTCATGGTGTGTAAAGATGCAGACAACTATTTCTAAGAAAACAACAGACATTATGGTAGCCACTGCTGATTTCCTGTTGTCTTGTTTTGAAATCCTGTGTTGCTTGTATTGTTTTGTTTTGATTTGCTTTGTTCTGTTTTGTTTTATTCTCTTTTAATTAAAGTAAAAAAAAAAAAAAAAAAACCCAGAGCCCAATGTGACTAAAGCAGAAAGAGAAATAAAGAAAAAGGAGTGGATGAAGTCTGAGAGGTAAGAATTAGATGAGATCTCTGGAACTTGCAAGGTTATCTTCCACTCTAAATGAGATGGGAGCTTTTGAAGGATTTTAAGCAACAAAATGTTATGATGTGACTTACGTTTTCACAGGATAAAGCTGATGATTGTGTTGACAGTAGATTGGTAGGTGACAAAGGCAGAAACAGAAAGATGAGCTAGGAGGCCTTTGATATATTCCAGACAAATGGAATCATTGCACTATACAACTCCATAAAGTATCATTCACCCTGCAGCTGCTGTGTGAGTGGTGCTTTCTGTAATGTGCAGCACAGTATACCCCCGCAGCTGCATTTGGGCACTTCAGGAAAGATGACTTGAACCAGGGTGAACACAACATGAATGGTAAAAAGTGTTTAGATATATTTTGAAAGACCTGCTGATACTTTAGATGTGTTAAATGAGAGTCAAGAATGATTTCAGTGCTGGGAGTAGTGGTGCACATCTGTAATCCCAGCACTCGGGGGTAGTTGAGGCAGGAGAATTACTATGAGTTAAAGGTCAGCATGGACTACATAGTGAGTTCAAGACCAACCAGGACTACATATCGAGATCCTGCCTAAAAAAAAAAAAAAAAAAGATTTTAAGGTCATCCATCAATTTCGTTAATTATTAATACTCAGTATGCCAAGTACCATTTGCCATATTTTTAGGGGGGAAGGTATCAGAAATCAAACTCAGGACCTCATGCTTGCCAGGCAGATGCTGTACTGCTGAGCCATATCCCTGGCTCTCATTTGGTAAGGGGAGTAATTCAGATTCATTTTTTAATTTAATAAGTATTTATCAAAAGTGCAATATGTAGAATACTTTCCAGATACTGTAGGAAATTTTTAAAGAACTAATGTAGCCTCAATAACAGAAAATCCTGTCTTGAAACTGTTAACAATTTACAATATTTACAAACGTTAAGAACCAAATGCCATATAAAGTTATTAAGTGTAAAGCAAAAATATGATAATGGGACTGACGATGGTTCAATTTTTAAATATTTTAAAATTTGTCAAGATAGGGCCATATCTTTGATTACCATATTTCTTCTTCAGTCATCAACAATTTATTCACCATCTTCTGATAATAACACTTTCCACTCAAAGTACCAGGCTGAATAAGCTCCACAGCTGACTCCTGCTCCAGCATGGAGGGTACAAAAGGCTATATGCCTGAGGTAGTAACTACCTGTTTCATGTGCTCTTCTGTTGCCAATGTCATACCCTGCATTTCTGATAGTTTGATTAAGAATTCTTGATCTCACTTTGACCCTTCATTCCTATTTGTCTAGTTTCTGACTTGCCAATTTGCATATCCTCTGACCATTTATCACCTGTGGCCCTTTGGCTTTGAGGACTTTTGAGATCTTGTTGGCTTCTCATGCCTTATTTCACCTGCCTCATTCATAGCTATATCTTGCCACTTCCTGTTTTTCTCATGTAAGTTTCACTAATAGAGCTTTCCTAAGAATAATGAGGTAGTGAAGATTATAATAATGATCATGACCATTAGCATTTTTAAGTAATGACTATGAGCTGTGCTCGAAGTTATGCTAATTTAAGTAAACTTCAAATGGAACCCTTGCAGCTAACCTGTAAGTTAGGTACTATCATTATTTCCATATGGAACTCCGCTTTAAAGAGCCTAAGTAACATGCCTAATGGTAATTAGCTAGAAAGTAGCAGAGCTAAGATGCAAACAAAGAACCCATGGTGAGCATGCCGTCGCATGTCCTTCTGTAGCCTATACATACTGTGTATGATTAAGAAAGAAGGAATAAAATCAAACTCAGCAACATTCTCTATACTCTCAAAGAGTCTTTATTTAATAATTATCCTTCTAATGTGGATTTATCACTTTATTAATTTTGCCAAGCTCTAGTTGGAGATGATATTTGCAATACTACCATTCCTATTTTTAAAGGTACTGATATCAGAGTTGGTTTTGTTTTGTTTTGTTTTGGTACTGGGGATTGAACCCACAACTACATGCTTGCAAGGCAGGCATTTATGCCACTTAGCTAAATCCCTGGCCAGAGTTGGTTTTGAATGGCCTGTTAAAATATGAATTTTATCTTTAAAATAATTCTTAGTTTTATCTTATGTGAGAGAAAAATAAAGTGTTTATTATCCCTATTTGCAGATGAAGAAGCTAAAGGTTAGAGACCAAGATCAAAGTCACATAGCTAACGTGTTAAAACTGAGTAGGAAACACAAACGTAGCCAGACTCGAAAACCTGTTATACTAATCACTCCAAGTAGTATACAGAATTGAGGCGTAGCCTCCCATGATTGCAACTTCCTGTGTTCAAACACACTCCTTAAAACATGTGACCTGCTTCTGAAGGGCAGACTATGGCAAAGGTAAAACGATATCAGTCTGTCTGGCTAGTAACTTCATTTAGAGAAGGTAGAGCCACTCCTCATTGGTTTGTCAAAGGAAGTAGCTGTATCGGGAAGACGCACAGGGCAAGGTCCTGCCAGACCCTCTGGGAGCTAAGGGTAACCTCCAGGATAAGGGAAACCTCCAGGAAGCATGAAGTCAGAGATTTCAGTCCTGCGACTTTAAGAAAATGAGTTCTGCCAATAACAGGAGTGACCTTGAAAGAGATTCTGCTGAAGCTTTCCAATGAGAACATAGCCTGACTGATGCTTTGATTATAGACTTTAAACAGAAGACGAGCTAAGGCGGTAATGACAAACCTTTTAGTTTTCAGTTTTACAAATACCCTGCTGCAGCACATGTGCTGTAGCTTCGGCATCACTGGGCTAAGTTATGCCCAGACTTCTAATTTACAGAAACTATGATGTAGTAAATGTGCTGTTTTAAATTGCTGACTTAGTGGTAATTTATACAAACATAGAAAATTGTCACTGGTTAGTGTGGGTCTTTAGCTACATGGAAGATGAAAAACAAATATGGGCTGGTACTTGAGCTCATAGACAATCACTACTGTTGTCACCTTATTCTTCAAGGCCCTTTAAGGGAAGGTCCTTCTATTAGCTTCTAAGATGTAACTTATCAGCTGAGGGTTCTCGCTCAATTTATATAGAAGTCACAAACTGGCAAAGCATAGCTCTTTCAGTGTTAAAAGTCGTAGGCTTTGAATGCAAGCAACTCTAAGCTTTTTTTCAGTGTTAGTGGCCCTCCTTGTTATTTGGAGCCAGCAGTTATCATAGGAACTCTTTTAGTCACCAGAGATGGAAGCTCTTAGATATTTTTCATTGCTCTCTACGTCCTCTGTCGTATGTGCTGTGCTTCAATGTTGCCAGCCCTAGAACCTAGTAGGTTTCAGAGCCAGAGGCCTTTGATGTCACCAGCTCCTAGTGTATCAGCTCAGCTTGCTGGACTAGAGACAAAAATCAGGAATAGTAAAAATATACTGCCAGAAGAGGATGGCATAAGCACAACAGATTTTCTGTTTGGTCATTGATGGGGGAGTGGGGGGCACTTCCACGTGAGCCTGAAAGATGAGGGTTGCAGAAAGGTAGAATCATCCAGAGAGGCCACAGCGCAGAGTCATCTGGGCTAAGTCAGGACTAAACTCTGCTACTGTTCTAAGGAAATATCTCACGGAGTAGCGATGAGTGCCTGCTTCAACTGAGTTGGCTTAAGCCATTTGGGGCAGCCATGTAATAAAAGTACCATTCCAAGCATTGGGCCTTCTTTTCTGTTTCAAAACTGGAGTACTATACTACCTTGGTTTTCCCTATTTCCCTTAGTGAAATGCACTAAATTCTAGTACTATACCATGTTGGTTTTCTCTATTTTCCTTAGTGGAATGCGCTAAATTCTTATTAAATGGTGTCTGCTATTATTACGATAATTATAATGGAAATTTTGAATATTAGTGTCAAAGAGAATGGTAACAAAGAAATTTAACATAGTTAAATACTTGCTTACAAAGTAATCAAGCAGCTGATACAGAAGAAATCAACAGATGATATGTTGAAAACTTGTAATTATTAAATGCATTGTTATCAAGCGAAATACTACACAATTCTTAGAGGTGCCTATACTCACACTTAGTTTTAACATCTTGCATCATATTCTACATCAACTGGAAAGTTTTTCTACATTGAATATGAGGAAACATCAAAATAGTTTCAGGTTACAGTCATACACTGTAAATTATAACGTTTAAACATTGTAACATTTAAAAGTAGGCCCAGTAAGATAGAGAAAATAATTCAAGACATTGGATCAAAAAGCCAAACCTTGATGAAATAGCTACAAGCATAATTCTTTCAATTTATGAGTACATGTAGTTTTGCTTGCCAAGGATACTTTATTTATACTGAACACACAAGCTAATTATACTTATCTGAAAAGTAGGTTAGAGAACTTGAAAGAATTTCCATTTGATAGATTTAAGTTTGCTATTATGAAAAAAAGAGGGGTTAATGTGCTTATCTTTCTGAATTGCAAAAAATTTTCCTATTTATTTTTTATACCAGCATCCCCCTTCACCCCTATATTTATATTGACACATGAATGTATAGTTTCTTTCCTTTTATGTGTGTGTATGTGTGTGTATGGTAGTGTGGAACTGGGGACTGAATCCAGGGCCTTTGTACTGTGCTACGTCCCAGCTCCTTTTTTCATTTTTTTTTTCAGAGTGGGGATTGCAAAGTCACTAAGTTGCCCAGCTTCAACTCAAATTCATAACCTTTCTGCCTTAGCTTCCCAGAATTCTGGAATTATAGGCATGCACTATCATACCTACCCATGAATACATAGTAAATGTACCAAGAACTGTTAAGTATTTTCTTAATATTTGCTCTTTTGAGGTCAATGACAGAATCTTCTATCAAGTTTTTTAAATTTTCTGTCATTTGTGATTTCTGGAAAAGAGCACTAATAATATATCTATACACATCTATTTGTAATTTGGCTTTTTAAAATATTTAAATGATTCAGAATGATTCAAGAGATAGCAAGTGAACCTAGTGATGTGAATTTTTTTTTTTGCCTTTGAATGAAATTGTCTAATTTCTTTTTTCTCTTTTATTTTTAAACCTGATCAGCATTTACTTTTCTCTTTAGATTCACGATTATGAATTGTTCTACGGAAGAGGAAGAGTACACACTGTGGCTGTTCCTGAAAGAACTAAGCACAATCCTTAGTGTATATTTTCTTCTTATGGTATGTTATCAACAGGTGGATAAAGAGGAAGCAACCCAGCTGGTCTTGCTCTAGTGGCCACAAATTAATCCATGTGCAAACTAGAACAAATTGGAATCTTTTTTGAACAAAGTGGAGTACTTTTTTTTAAAGGCCAGACTCAGGATTAGGGCCGCTTTTGAACTGTTGTTGACTTCCTGATGTAATTTCGAAATATAGGACACTGCTAAATCCATTTCTTAGTATAATGTATAACCAAATCTAGGCATAAAGTGAAACTATATTTCTCTTAGACCTTAGACAAAATTTGGCTAATCTTTTCAAAACCATAAATTCATTTGTTTTTAATTTTTAAAAACATTTCATTGACAATTCTATAAATGTATGGGTTACAATGTGCTCTTCAGACATACATACAGAGTGTGGGGTAATTAAATCAAATTGACTAACAAACCCATCACTATTTTTTAATGATGAGAATAAAATCTACCCTTTCAGAAATTTTGAAATATTATTAATTATAGTAACAGACCACTGAGATGTATTTATTCCTTCTTACTAACTGAAAGTGTGCTTTTTTTTTTTTTTTTTTTTTTTTTTTTTTTTTTGGTACCAGAGGATCCAACTCAAGACCTCAAGCTTGCCAGGAAAGTATGGCTTTGACCACCTCCCTGTTTGCCATCTTCTATTCCCTACTCCCTGGTAACTACCATTCCAGTCCACTTCTGTGTAAATTAATTTAATTTTATAATAGATGGGAGATATACGGATATTATTTTTTGTTTGGTTTGTTGTCTTATTTACCTGTGGGATCTTGTTCAATTATTAGACAAGCTCTTTACCACTGAGTATTTATTTACTTATTTACTTGAGACAAGTTCTCCTTATGCAGTTCACGTTGGCCTTGCACTCACTTTGTAGCTCAGGCTGGCCTCAAATTTACAATGATCTTCTTATCTCAGCCTATGAGTGCTAGGATTATAGGCATGCGTCATAATGTTCAATGATCTTTCTATTTTGAGACAGATTCTTACTAAATTGTCCCAGCTGGCCTCAAATTTGCAATGTTTCTGCCTCAATCTGTGTAGTAGCTGGAATTACAGGTGCACACCACCATGTCTGACTTGTTGTTTTATAGTTAAATTTATTACATGTTTGGAATTTTTACAGAATTGTATAGAATTATACTTAAAAAAATCATGAATGATGTCTTCTCAACCATTTTGTTGTTTTCCTCTTTATCTTTCCTTTGTGCTAACTTTACCTCTTTTATGGGTCAATTCTTTCACAGAGTTATTTTTGCAGTTTTTCAAAGTGAGGTTTTGAAAGTGAAACTTAAAGTTTTCCCGCATTGTCTAGTTTTTGTTTTTTTTCTTTGATTTTTCATTTTTGATTTGTTAAAACATACTGAATACCTTATAAATGCTTGACATTTATTTTTAGGCAAACACAAATGGAATAAAAATCCTAAAATTGAGATATAAGCACTCAAGTGATTGGGAACCTTTGAAAAAAATTCTAAGACATTGCTTTCTTATGAATCGTGTTTTATTAGTGTTAAGATTGCAAACTCTGAAACCAGGCTGAATTGGACTATTGTTAAGAATCACAATTAGAAAGTTTATTAATAATAAACACACATGCTTCAAGAATCTCATTCTTTAGCAGGGATAACTTGTTTTCAGCGTCAGGGAAGGGTCCCAGGAGGAAGGCCTGGAATTTGGAAAGACTAGACAAGGTTTCAGGAGCCAATACAGGGTTTTCAGAGTCCAGCGGCTTATCTTTGGGGTGGGTGAGGGTGACCTCACCTTTGAAGTGCTTTAATTGGCAAACCAAACAGCGTTACTTTGAGGGGGTGAAAGGAGAGGTGGAATCTTGGGGCAATAATCTGCTTTAAAAGGTGTTGGGGTGACTTGGGGACGTTTGGAGTCTGGTGGTGTCCGGGGTGGGACGGGGCTAGGTTGGAGGATGCATCGCGCCCCACACCAGCGGAAGGCGGAAGACAGCAGCCGGCGCCGCTGACAACTGGGGTGGGGGAGGGTCGTGGGGGACGGCGGCGCTCGGAGAGATTTGTGTCTTTGCCTGTAGGACTATTACAGGAGGCGCGGGGGAGCCGCGCGGGTGCTCCCCGGCCCGGGGAACTCCGGCTGCAACTGCAGCGCGAGGCAACCCCGCCGAGGTCCCGCTCCCGAGGCGGCCGCGCTCCCCCCGGGCCCGGGCCGCGGCCCTCCCGCCCCGGCGGAGCCGCGCGGTGGATTGTGGGCTGGGGGCTGCGGAGGCCTCGCGGCGGCCTCGGTGCGGTCTCCCCGGCCCCAGCCCGGGCCTGGCCAGCGGGGTGTGGGGAAGCAGGGGAGCAGGGAGCCGAAACGCTAGGGACAGTGGTCGCGGCGCGGCGGCGGCGGCTCCCCTGGAGGCTGGGGATGTGGGAGAGGCGGTGGCAGCAGCGGCGGAGGCGGCGCTGCGGACCCGGGGGAAACTGCTGGCTGACAGGACACCCGGGAGAGACGTGAGGGAGCCGCCGCGGCCGCCTCTCACCCCGGAGCAGAGCTGGGCTCCAGAGGGCGGCCCTGTGCTCCCCTGGCCGACGGGCCGGCCGGCGCGGGGCGGAGGCGGGAAGCCGGGCTCGGGCCAGGCCGGCCTCGGGGCGGCTGTGGCCGCGGAGCAGCAGGCTCGGCGCCACACCGAGGGCTGGAGGCGGCGGCGATGCACTAGGCCTCGCTCTGGGCGGCTGCCCGGACCCGCAGGTAGGTGTCGGGCCAACGTGGCTGCCCCTGCGCGCGCGGCCCCCTCATCTCGACCTCCCTCGGGGAGGGACGGAGACCCCATCCCCCGGGTCCTCTCCGCGACCTCCAGCCGATCGAGTTTCGGTCTGGAGCGACCGCCCCGAAGCTCCCGTTCCTCTCTCCCAGCTTCTCTTCCTTGTCACTCTGGGTGTCGCGGCTGGCAGCTGTTCTCCCTCCTGCCGTCAGCCGCTGCCGACGCCACTCTAGCCCTTTTCGCCCCCTCTGCGATTTCAGCTCTGGAACTTCCGTCACTCCTCCTAGGCGGAGACCCCAAACTTTCCCTCTCCTCTTGTAGCCGGGCCCTTGCCCTACTTTGGAACCTACGGGAATAATTAACCCTCTCGTGTGTGTGTGTGTGTGTGTGCTGCAGTTTGGCAATTTACTTCGCAATAATTTGTTCAGTGATTAATTTTCTTCAGCTGTGTTTCCATCTGTCCCCGCTTAGGTTCAAAGGCAAGGCCATCCTTGCTCTCTCGTCGTTGTTGGGGAACTTTTTTCTGACCAATATATTTAGCTCGTTGGTATGTGCATGTGTTAAATTTAGGATGGTAATTTTTAGAGTTTTAGTTGTAAAAAAAAATAGTTTTTTTAAAAAATCCTCTTTAACTAGCTTTTTTATTTTTTAATCTTTGAAAGAGGCTGCTCTTTCAAAATATTAAATTGTTGGGAATGTTTCTAATTGGCTGTATTTCTGACTTATCAAACCCAGGACAGTCTTAACAGTAAATATTCGTGGGGGAAGGTAACATCATGATGAATTGTTTGTCGAAAGAGAGCAATATATTACTATGATAACTTAAGGTGCATATTTTGATATAGATTCACTTTTGTAAGTCTGATGGGAAGTTCTAATTGGAAAAGTATCCTGAGAACCTAAATGATTTCTAAGCTGTTATGATGGAACAGATGAAATGTTTCACTGTTTTTGTATTACAGAGTTTGATTTCTAAGAAAGGGGTATGGATGGTTTATAGTGATCATTATTATTCATGATGGTTTGGGTAAATGTGATTCATATGTGTAATTTTAGTTGTGGTTTGGTAGATATTTGCAACTTCGTGATTTGGCTATTCTTAAATCATGTTTTAAACTTTAGAATTTTTACAATATCAGTGTCTTCTCAATTGAACTGTAAAGACTTCATATTTTGTTATTGATATTCGTATATTTTGTTCTTGTGGAGATATTGTTGCTACAGCATTTGGCTTTCTGAAGTGGTTTTCTAAAGTATGACTGGTAAAATTATCCAGAGTTTGCCAGGAAAAGATGATTAAGTTTGCACGTGTGTTTTTTGGAAAAGTTTTAACATTACTTTCTGGATAAAATAATTAAGTTACTATGTCAGAATTGTAATCAAATCTTACATAACCCATGAAACTGCAAATTGAAGAATTTGTCCTTAATCACACTCTAGTAATGTTGATCAAAATTCCATTTTCCTGCTCTTAGCTTTTAAAAATTAGCTTTATTGAGTTATAATTAATATAAAGTACACTCAGTGTGCAATTCATTGGTTTTTAGTATGTTAACGAGGGTGTATGACCATTACTATAATCTAATTTTCAAATATTTCATTGTCTTCATCAAAAAAAAAAAAAACCCTCGAACTCATCAGCAGTTACTCCCCATTTTCCCTCACCCATTCCCAGTTTTAGGTAGCCACTACCCTGCTTTCTATCCCAATATTTTCCTAATATGGGCCTCTCATAAAATGACTTCTCAAGGCTTTTTAAAAACTTAGTCCTTTAACATCAATTTACATGTTTAAAATATTTTGTTTGGATTAGGGAGTAAAGGATCATTGGTATTGAAAGGTATATTGGAAACAACTGTAATACTATTTGATTGTATTAGCGTAAATGCAAAGTTTGAAGAAAGAAAAATGGTGGTCTGAATGTCTTCAGTGACCTCAAGAAGTAGTTTGGTCATCTGGGGTCTATAAGTAAAAATGGGAGAAGTATTTTTACTATTGACTATCAGAATATTAGGTTGGAAAAGCTTTTGCATCAGCTTATTTCTGCTTGCCTTACAAATAGGAGGAACCAGATGAAGAAATTTGAACGGTAGAAGCTTGTATTTCCAGGATGCATAGGTTAAAAACCACAGTGAGACAAGCATGTGAAACAAGCAGGAGGGAATGGGGAAAGTGTTGGCTAGTTTTGATGTTTGGATTCTGTATGTGTCTGTATAGGTGTGATTAAAATATATGGTGAATGTTTAAACCTTTATTACAGTAAAATGCACATTGCCATTAATTCCCCTCAACCCCCTACCCCCAGCATCGAACACCACCTAGTCTGTCTTTTTTGTCATCTTCTTTAGAGAAGTCTTTTTTCATGAGTGTGTTTACAAGGTGGCATCAAAAATATGGTTGAGCCCAAAAACAGTGAGTGGTACTGGCAAGTACAATAGAAAGGCATACTTGTAGAACATTACGATGTGCCCTCATCTACCTTATTCACTGAATCAGGCATCTTATGATTTCTGGCTCTTTTCCCAAAGTCAAAATGACCATGAAAGGTAAACATTTGAATTTTAGAACATCCAGGCAGCCATGATAGTGCAACTAACGCACTCACAAGAGGATTTCCAGAGCTACTTCCCAAGTGATAAGAATAGTAAAGGTAAACTCGAGGCATTCATAGGTAAATGGATACAACTTGAGAATATTATGTTAAGTGAACTAAGTCAGATGTACAAACTTCAATATTGCATATTTTCTCTTATATAAGATAACCAGTATCTATAAATTATACACACACACACACACACGAGCAAAATAAAAGATAAATAAAAGTAGGGAGGAGAGTTCAAATAATTCCCTAAATTATTTACTCCACTATTTCAAAAGCATTTTAATATATACACTAATTCATTTTGTTTATACTAGTTATTTCTCTTAGTTTATTGAAAAGAATTTTGTGCTATTTGCTTCTTTTGTAGAAAGTTTTTCTATGTCTCATACTGAGTAACTACTTTGAAGATGATACACAGTATATTAACTATTCTTATTCTCATTATTTTGTCATGAAATTTATTTTATTTTCACATAAGTTTAAAAAAGAAAGTGAAAATGATGGGATATAAGTGTGTTTGAAGGGAAAGAGTATTTTGAGGAGTATAAGTTTTACTGTAATGATTTTTTAAAATTTAAAGATTCACTGTACTTTTTATAACTCCTCATAGCAGGCCTTTTGTTAGCAGAGCTGTTAAGTAGCATTTCTTCTGCTTTGAAGACAAGTAGGTGACTGAAAGTATGCATGTTGTAAAGTCATCTAAAAAAATGCTTTAACCAGAAGTGTGGCAAACATATCTTCTTGTATTACTACCATTATATTTTTAAATATCCAAATTTTAGGACCAAAATTATTATTAACAAAGACTAGAGTTTTCCTTTTTCAAAGATCCATGGCCCAAACGTCTAAAACAGTGTATGATTTTGCCTTCCCAGGGACCTTTGACAGTGTCTGGAGACATTTTTGATTGTCACAACTAAATGGGGAGTGCTGTTGGCATCTAGCCAGGGATGTTGGGAAATAACATACAATGTACAGGACATACTCCACCCACACACAAGGGAGGATTTTCTGACTCAAAATGTCAACAGTACTGTTACAAACTTATAGTTTGTATGATTCTGGTAAGGGTCTGAATTAATGGGAGAGAAATACTTAGTGAGTACTGTTTGATAGGTTATAAATCCTCTATTGACTCGTTTGCTAGATGGAGGCAGTTGAGGGGAAAGTAAAAGAAGTCCATGACGTACTGCAGCTATTGTTTAGTCTATTTCGTCTTCAAATCTGCAGAAAAGTACCTTTTTTTATATTGATGTTTTTGGGTAGTGGGAATTAACCCCAGTGTCTTACAAATGCTTTGCAAGTACTTTAACACTGAGCTACATCCCATCACCACCTTTTTTCCTTAAAATGGCAACTTTGATATATTTGTACATTTTAACTACTAGTATGTTTTAAGCTTTTGGTTATTGTTGTATAGTTTTTGAGACTAGAAGTAAACATGTGGTAATATCTAATTTAACTAGAGGTAATCTCCCCCAGCTTTAACTGCCAAGAAAGAAGCAAACTGTGTTATAATTAGTTAGTATATGTGTGTGTATATGCATGTTGTGATTATCCAGAGAAGCTTAAAGTTTATAAACAAATATCTTTTTTTCCTTTGTAAGCAACACTTTGACTTAATGTATTTTAACAGGCTTAATTTGATGATGAAAGATGATTGACAATGGGGGGTTACTTTCACTATTTACTATTTATATGATCTTAGAGAAATTACTCAATCTTTCTGACTTCATTTTCTCATCTGCAAAATAGTGATAATAACTCCTGAATCACAAGGTTATTGTAAGAATTAAATGAGTTGCTGTGTGTTAGGATACTGTATCAACAATATACTAAATAGGAGTTATTTTCACAAGAATTAAGTAAGGGATATAGATATGTGAAAGGTACAAATACAGAAATGGCAAAGAGAATTGATACAGCGTCTAGAAAGTAGAGAAAACCTAAGCATTTGTTTCCATCCATAACACGCTAATAGAAAAACTAGTTAGTATATCACCATAATGTGGAAGATTCTTAAGTCAGTGCAAACTGACTTCCTTAGGGAGCACTTGAGGTTATTACTATTATAATAACTATTATAATGGTGAAATTAAGTTATCAAGAAAAGGTTACTTGTTTATCAGAATGTGCTACTTGAAAAAACATGACAATATATACTTTTGGTGTTTTGGGGAAGTGATTTATTTCCACAAAAAGTTTTAAGACTTCCAAACTAAGCTAAGTCCTTTTCATTTAAAAGGTATGATTTTCTTTGTATTTGAAGGATTTTTCTACCCATGGTAATTGCTCTTTAAATGGGAGGATTTAACTGAAGAAATAGGGGTTTTTGAGGTTTCATTATTGGTGTTTTGAGATAGGATCTTGCTGTGTAATTTGGAC